AACAGGTCACTCTTCTAAGAGTGTAGAATGTCTCGAGTGTGACTCTGTGGTTACCATCCTCCAACATGTGCTAATTTCCCTTCTTCACAAAGTATGAGGCGGCCTCAGATTCGGGCCTTGTCAGGGAGTGGTTCTTGGCAAGAATTCTACCGCACTGCTTTGTTTTCATTCTACTGGTTGTTGTTGTTACCTTGTACATGTATAGGAGGCGGCTGATCAATGATTCTGTCTCATCGCTGTTTCTCTCTCTCTCTCTCTGCCTCTCCCTTCTTCTCTGAAATCAATAAAAACATATTTTAAAAATTAAAATAAAAAGGAGCCCTACCTGGTTTGGCTCAGTGGATGGAGCGTCGGCCTGTGGACTCAAGGGTCCCAGGTTTGATTCCGGTCAAGGGCATGTACCTTGGTTGCGGGCACATCTCCAGGAGGGAATGTGCAGGAGGCAGCTGATCGATGTTTCTCTCTCATCAATGTTTCTAACTCTCTATCCTTCTCCCTTTCTCTCTGTAGAAAATCAATTAAAAATATATATATTTAAAAAAATAAAAAGGTATAATATTTTAATCAGGCTGGGAGAAGCGCTGCATCACCCAAGGAATGGCCACCTGTCAAGTCAGGCCCAAATCCGACAGAACTCTGGTGGCCACACTCCTTCACAGGGTGCAGACTCTTTCTGGGCAGAAAAGACTCAACAGTCCAGCCCTCCTTTCCGAATGCCCGATGTTCCCCGCTCCAGGCCAGGTCTCCCCAAGAGCTGATCCCAACCGTGGAGCTAAAGGACACAGAGGGGTCAGATTTGGTGTAAGTAACATTACGTGGTTTTGCTCATGAAAGCAATACATGAAAGGAGAAAAAGCAATTATGTATAATCTCACCGCCTGGGGAAGAACCACTGCTAGCATGTTGTGTAATTCTTGGCAGTTAAATGACTTTTCAAGTATAATCAAATGCCCGAGTGTCCGATACGAATGTGAGACATGGAGCATTTTTCAAATAGATTCCTCTTGGTGCATGCTTATTTGATCTCTGGATAGGAAAGCTTCCTAAGCTTCAAATCAAAGGGAGAAACCACGGGGGAAAGAGGAACCATGTGGACAACTTGGCATAAAGAAGGGGAGAAGGCGATGCAGAAAGCCTTTCTGTCTATCCGAATTCAAACGGGTGATTCTGTAACAGTTTGCTGGTGTTTTCTAACTGCACAAACTTTCTCACCCTGGTCAGAGGGGACTCTGAATCTTTGCCACGTGCAGCTGTCACCCATCCTATGCTTAAACTCCAGCTTCCAAAGCAGAAAGTGGGTCCATGCTACCTGTGTCCACAGAGAAGGGATTATTTCTGACCTCAGAGGAGCTAATGGACAGCCGCTCAGACTGCTTCTGGGCTCTCCGTGTGGAAGTGTAGTGAGAATCGCGATAGAAACAGTAGTACAGGCAAGGAGATGACAAAGGTGGGCAGAGAGCCACAGCACGGCCCTCAGAAGGTTCCAGCAGACCACAAAGGATGAGTCACACACAGCGCCCTTGAGTCACCAATGCAAAGCAGGCCAGAACTCTCCCCGACCTTCAGTCTCAGGCCTCCGGCTGCTAAGAGATAAACAACCCCAGCTGCATACCACGGGTGCTCTGCCTTCTCTCCCGGCTCTGCCTCTGCTCCTTGGCCAAACCCCAACTGGTGCATTTTATGACCCAAGATGGTGCCGGCCAAAGGATGATGAAATCAATAATCATAATGATTAATGGTAGCTGGCATTAATTAAGGTCTACTCACCTCGTACTTTCCCTAGACCATCTCATTTAATCCTAACCATAATCTTAGACAGCAGGTAGTACCAACCTTTAAGCAATGATTCCTGGAGCTTAAGGCCTCAGAGCTTCCAAGACAGAAACCAAAGGCCCTTCTACCCTGCCTCCAAAGCAGGCCTGGGACACGCGCTCCCTCGCACAGAGGTTTGGCTGTTACGCACAGCCCTGACAATTCAGTTCCAGAACTGGATCTTGCACTGTGTCTGGGAGACCTTCCCAAGGTTCTGATGAAGAAACTTTGTTTCATTTTAGGAGTTACTTAAGAAGCTTTTTTTTTTTATGGTGTACAGGTATGTTCTTTCTGTTATTGTTTTTCTGAGTCACCGTGTGTGCGTTTTGTTGTTTTCTTCTGCGTCACCAGAACCAAAAAGGGCCATACAGGTTAAGGAAGCAGCTTCTGGCATTCCCTGTGGTGTGCAGCACAGCAGGGATGGGCTGGGGTGGGTGCCTGAGGGCCAACCTCCAGCCTCCTCTCTGACTTAGAGGAAAGGAGGTGCCAAAGGCAGGTCAAGGACATGTTACACAACCCGGGTACTTCCCGTCATATATCCTTTCTGGCTGAAGCGCCTGGCAAGTCAGCTAGATTCAGTCTTCTGGTGTCTGTATTGCCATTGATCACTTACCCTCAATGTGAGGGTTGCAGCCACCTTGGAGCTAGGAGCTTAGGTGTGACAACACGTCTCCTGACATAAGCATTCTGAGCTACTTGAAAGGCCCAAGTGGAACATGTGCTCAATCACCTTCACATTCCTGAGAAGCCCACATCTGGGAAGGTAGAGCTGCTCTGTTTTAAAATGAGCAAAAAGCTAAAGTCTCTCAGGGGAAAATCTGTCCTCAACCTCTGGGACAAGTCTAGCTTCAGTTGATGATTCTTTTGGATCCCATTTTGAGAAACACTGTTCAAATGGTCACACCTAATCCCGTGACAGATATTTCATTCCTCTTTCTATTTATTTTTAATTTACCTTCCGAGTTTCTATCTATCACAGATCTGAAGCCAAGTTCTTAATGGCAGGGATTGTGTCTAGCTGTGCCTGTATCCCTGGAAAGGCCCCCAATACCTACTATCAAATCAAACCCTCAAACGTCTATGGACCAGAGCAGAATGTGCAACGAGCTCCCAAGTTCTTGAATCTCTGGCGAGGCAGGTGGTGATCCTCTCTCTAGGACTGGGGTGGCTCTGAACCCAGAGCCGTGGCAAGGAAGCCAACAACTGTTCCCATCTGATCCCTAGTTCCTGGGGCCAGGCAGCCAGCCCAAACCATCGGCACGGCACATTTCTCAATTGCTCTGCTCCGGTGTCACAGGCCAAGTTTTGCTCCAACTCCCTGGGCCGGTGTGGGCCAAGAAAAGTCAAGTACAGAGTGAAACTGGGGGAAGGCAGCCAAATCCCAGCAGAGGGGGCAGGAGGTTCACCTCACCGCTCCTGATCCAGGCCCAAACCCAGCGGGGCAAAGCGGTGCCACTTCCCCTGCACGGGGCAAACTGGGAAAAGGTGCTGCCACCTGTGGCTCTGTGTCCTCTCCCAGAAGAGGAGCCTCATGTTAAAAGGACACTCGCTAAGTGGGTGCTTTGCCAGTGCCATGGCCAACAGGGCAGCTGACATCTCACTCGAGTGACCTTGGGGATCAAAACTGGGAAAGCCGGACTGAGAGACCAAATGGGTACCAACTCCATTCAATGTTATGTGGACACTATTTTTAACAGAAAAGCGCATTCATATCCTAGTGTTTGCAGGGCACAGAGGGAAAGGAATATATGTAAACATTCATTTGCAGGCGATGGAATTCTTCCAGAAAGGATGGAAGAAATGGGTAACACCCGTTTTCCTCCAGAAGGTCCTTGGGGCACAAGTGTGGGTGGGAGATGGTACAGGGTGTTTGTTTGTTTGTGAGGTTTTTTTTTTTTGTTTGTTTGTTTTTAGTATCTTCTGGGTTTTAAACACATGATTATATTACCTAATCAAGTATAATTACATTTTAAAAGTTAGTTTTAAAAACACGTATTTTAAAAAAATCCGTTTTCAGACACTCCGTATTTACTTAGCATAAGCCAGACCCTAGGGTAGATGCTGTTTTCCAGTGCTGGATTGGGGAGGAGTAGAAACAGATAAACAATCATTCCTTGGGGCCATAGGTCAGAGGGCCCCTGGACTTGAAGGAAAAGGTAAAGAACCAGTTAAGGTTTCCTCCAAGAAGTAGGCAGTGATAGGAATTGCCACCACGCTCCTAGAATCCCGAACTGTGATGAGTGTCAGGCCACAGGGACACAAAAACACTGGATGAATGTCACTCTGAAGATTCTATCCCCATCCCTCAGATGCGGGAGGGAAAAATAGTGCTCGGCAACAGAAGCGAGATCGAAAAGATCAGATTTTATCCTACACGTTGTCCCCTCCCCCAGCTCACCAGAGAATCACATTGTGTAAGATTGATAAAGGGAACTAACAGGGAGCAGGCATTCATAAAATGCTTACCAGAGTGTTTGGCAGAAAGTGCTGTGTAAATGTTAAAAGTCAAATAAAGCCTCGCAGAGATGCAAAGGATCGGAACCATCCTCCCAGAGAATAATTCTCTATGACCCTGGATTATTCTGGGAGCCAGGCCCGTGTTGGAAGTTGGATTTTCTTCCTGACACAACGCTACTAAGATATGAGACGTCAACAGCGACGGGGGGCTAGACTCGCACTTTGAAGGGCAGTGCCGTCCCGCCAGAGACCAGGGTAGCAAGCGCCTTTTAGCCTTCTCTACCTTTTTCTCCCCGATCACCGAAGCTATAGGAAGATTACTGGAGCCTCCTTCCACTCCTCCACCTGGGCGATCCGCCGAGAACGGAGAACGGAGAACGCCCTTATGAGGCTGCTGCGCAGGACACCCAGGCGTGGAGAGCAGGTGGCCTCTCTGCGGCCCCCGCGCGCGGTGACAGGAGCGCAGACAGGTGCCTGCGGGCGCGCCATCCCGCGCTCCGCGCCGCTCCCCGAGGACGCGCGAGCCCAGAGCCTCCGGGGCGAGTGCCACGCCTCGGCCTCCCCGGGTGCGCGGTACCCAGCCCGGCCCCGAGGCCGCCCGCCCGCCCCGCCTGCCTGCGCGCGGTGCGCGGTGCCCACGCCGCTGCGGGGACGCGCGGCCCTAGCCTCGCACGCCCGGGAGAGGGGCTTCCTGAAGGCGGATCCCGTGGCGTCAGCCCACCGCCGCTCACCAGTTCCCCGAGCCCACGATGCACACTTTCAGGGGCGACGTTGCCATGACGGGACAGAAACGCAGCAGCCGGACGCGTGCCTTTCCAGTCTGCCGCTGGCCTCCGCCCGCCTGTGCAGCCCGACCTGCGGCGGCAGCTCCCGAGGACCACGCCCCTCCCGTTTCTCCGCCAATGGCCGTGGCCACCTCCCACCCCGGAGCCCCGGGCTAAGAGGGCTGCCCGGGTGGACCCGCCCCGCCACTCCCAAGAACCACTGCGCACGCCTGGGCTGGGCTGCCCTCTCCGCCCCGCCCCACCCGTGCCCGAGGCATGCCGGGACTTGTAGTTCACAGCGAGCCCCGGGGGAGGCCCCGCCCACCTCACCACGTGCCTCCCGGCGCGGTTGCGCAAGGGCTTGAGCTTTCGGCCACGGAGGCGGCGCTCCACCCGGCGGAGCTGGTCGGGCTCGGCTTCCACGCAGTGACCCGCTACCCTAGCGCCGGCTCCCCACGCGGGAAGCGACGCCCACACCTGTCTTTTCAGCCTCTGCCGCACTTGTTAGAAGCAAGACAGCCTGGCACCCCTGAACTTCCCAATGAATTTTAAAACTTCTGAGGCCTTCGGGACCTGGCTGGACGGAACCTGCGCTTCAGTGTGGCCGCTAAAGGCCGGAGAGAGGCCGCACCCACTTGCTCTGCAGAACTTGCTTTTCTCCTTAAGTTGGTTGTGAGACTCTCCCGAACCCCTTCCTTCCTACAAAAGTATTCATTCCGAGTGTTTTAAACTGGTGGTTCTCTAACTCTGCTGCTTACCAGTCTCTGGATTTTTAAAAAAAACACCCATGCCGAGGCACCACCTCAGGCCAAGGGCGTCAGACTCTCCCAGGATGAGATACAAACATCAGATTTTTTTTTTTTTTTAAATTTAAGAGGTGATTGCAAAAGGCAGTCACAATTGAGAACCAGGGAATTAAAATATCGGCAGAGGCTGGCTGAAGAAACAAATACTCCAGTACCTAGAAAAAGACGAGGCCTACTCATTGGCTATCTAGAGGACTAATTTATTTTTGTTTTCACCTCTACATCGTATGAAAGAAGTATCTAGGTTACTTAGGATATTTACTCAGAGAAACACATAGAGTGGATGAGAGAGAGATCCATTCTGTCCTCTCTCACAGATTATTATATTTTGCTCTCAATTATTTGCACTAATGGGAAGATAACCTAAGCAGGGAGGGTGGGGAAAATGGACTTATTCAAGCTTTATTCATTTTTTTTTTTTTGCCTGCGTGTTACAATATGGGTATACGTTAAATAATGACCTTATGTGCTTGAAGAATATACATTGTGAAGATTTACCGCAAGTAGCTGATTCAATTTTAGCCTTTGCCTGGAAGATTTATATCCCTCATATGGAAACTCCTGATCCCCAATGTTGCCACTGCACATGCGTGATAATGCGCTACATGACTATTCTGCGGACATACCTATACAACACCACTCATTGTATGGGGTTTACCGAACACCTGGTATCGTCACCTGTTATACACAACACATTATACACAGAGTAAGTAGTCATTTGTTTTGCAGACTGGTTACAAAGATTAATACAGCCCTAGCTGGTTTGTGCAGTGGTTAGAGCATCAGCCTGCAGATCTAAGGGTTGTGAGTTTGATGCCTGGCCCTGGTTGGGGCTCACTGAGGAGGCAACCAACCTATGTGTCCTACGTAGATGTTTAGATATTTCTCGCTCTCTGCCCCTCTTCTTCCTGTGGCCCATTCTCTCTAAGAAATCATTGGAAAAAATATCCTTGGATGAGGGTTCAAGCAAACAAACAAAGAAAACAACAACAAAGATTAATATAACAACCAGATAGGTGAAGGGAGGGGAGAATTTCAGTCAGAGGTGCAGGTAGACCAGAGAAAATTGCAGGGGCCTGTGATGGAAGGAATAAAGGTGCTATACAGTCAGTGGTTGCTCAGAATAGTGATGAAAGTTTGATAAGGATATTTACCTAGCCTCAAACTGTCCACACAAATTATTTACAAGGATGAAAGAGTAAGAGAAAATTTTTAGAGAAAACTGGCTAACATCACCTTAATCAAATGATCAAAGTCAACATTACCAGACAAACCAACACATGGGCCTTCTTTAGCAGGAATGAGAAGACAATTAATATTGGCTTTGTTGGGGAAAAAAATATTTTGAAATAGTTCCCAGACCTTGGGATTTTATAGATGAAAAATGTTTGTACTTGTTTTCAAGTCTGACATAGAATCACCAATTTTTTTTTCCATGTTAGGACATAAACTATTGCCATATATGATTCCTATTTCATTTCAACTTTATTTCTTTTAATGCATCTCATTCATTTTAATTTAATTTGTTTTTTGACGAATTAATACATTCACATTATTTAAAAAACTAAAAGGATCAAAAGGGTGCATAGTGAAATTCTCTCTCCCTCCTTTTCCAGTAGCTCTCCAGTTTCTTGAGGAACTTGTTACTAATTTCTTATGCATACACACTGTTTTGTTACTTGCTCCCAAGTTAACTTTATTTCATATTAGAAATGTCAGCCAATACCAAAAAAAAGTTGAACGCACATAATGAAAACTCAAAATTAAAAAATAAAAAGAATACATGTAGCTTTCAGAAAACTCTCCCTCAAAGTCTATTTCTCATTTCTCTGTGGTGCTGAAACCTTTTTCACAGGCCTGTGTTGGTTAGATGCATTCCTCTAACTCCAGGTAAGACTTACACTTGGGCCACCCTAGAGAAACATTTTAGCCACTCTGTCCTCGTAGTACATATGTCACCACTTTGCTTCCTAATTATCCTGTACAATCCCCAGTGGTGACATTTGTTCTTGGTACAACTGGCTTCAAATGAAATTGCCCATCTTCAGTATTGCTATTGACAGTCTAATGAAGAATTACAGTTTTTTGGCTGAAGAAAACAATGCTTCATTCTAGAAACATGCATGGGATTTCATCTCACTTCCTTGGGGATTAGAGACATAATGGATGAAAGGCAGTTTGGCTGCTTGCACGAACCAAATAGAGCCCCAGACACTTAGAAGAGGCAGGTGTCAATTGTAATCTGTTCATATCGAAGCTTATTAAATGATAGAGGGGTTTTTGTACTAGCCTTTATCCACCAACTGTTCCTTTTCACCAGTCCTTTATATTGGGATGGTGTGAGGATTCAATTTGTGAAAGAAATACTAACACCCTGACCCATTTGGCCCAGTGGATGGAGCGTCGGCTGGAGACTGAAGGATCCCAGGTTCGATTCCGGTCAGGGACGTGTACCTTGGTTGCGGGCACGTCCCCAGTGTGGGGTGAGATTAGGAGGTGGCTGATTGGTATTTCTCTCTCATCATTTCTGACTGTCCCTCTCCCTTCCTCTCTGTAAAAAAATCAATAAAATATATTTTAAAAAATAAAAGAACATACTACTATAAGCTACCTTTAGTCTAGCAGCCAGCTCTTAGCCAAGCACTTGGGTCACTTGGAGACTTTGGGAGTTTTAAAGATGAAGTTACCAGGTTTTGTATTGTTCCTGACCAGAGAAAGGCAGAGATATTTATTCAGTTTCTACTTGATTAAAAATCAAATGTCAACCTGAACTTGATTCTAGATTTCTGTCTTGTTCATTTGCTTATTCAGCAGGCATTCTCTGAACCCAGAACTGACAATACAATGTTGAAGAAAAGAGACAAAGTTTACAGTTTACAGAAAGGAGGTCAGATAAAGAAACAAGTATCTTCCACAGAGCCCAGACTGGGGTTGCTCTGATAAGAGACAGGGAGCTCCAGGAACAGAGAGGAGGGCTACCCACCTGGACCCAGGGTGTCAGGTAAGACCTTCTGGAAGAAGGATGTCTGAGCTGAAGGCTGAGTGGGAAACAAACAGAGGAAGAGTGCCTGAGGCAGATAGAACACCACGCATGAAAGCTTAGGGGCAAAAGAAAAATAGCCATTGGTCCCTCTGAGAAAGTTCAGTACGTTGGAGGATAGAGCAAGCGGAAAAGATAAATGAGGCAGACAGGTGGCCAGGGACCAGATGATGGAGGTTCTGTTACAGCAGTTTGAGTTTTATTTCTAAGGCAGTGGGGGAATCATAAAGTGTTTAAAGTGATACATGATGTGGTCATATTTGTCTTTTACAAGATCAGTGGAGTGGCAGCAAAGGAAGTGTCCTGGGAGGTACAAAACTGGAAGCAATGAGCACAGATAGAGAAGGTGTTGGTTACAGTGATCCAGGCAGCAAGGTTAGGGAGGAGACCAATTCCAGGCAAAACCTATGGGATCTGACATGTGAAGGGGTCGGGGAGAGGGGAGGTTAAGGATGACTTCCAGATTTCTGACGTGGACAGCGGGCAGGTGGTGGTGGTGGTGATGGTGGTGGTGGTGGACAGAAGGTGTTTTAAAGCAGAACTTGCCTGTCTTGGCAAAAACAAAAATATGTGTGGCTTTTCTGGTTTTCCTCTTAGTTAGCCTGTGAAATCAGATAACAGCCCTTGGGTGGAATTTTGTGCTAAACAGTATTCAAGACTGGTCGCAGTTTTCTTTAAGAAAACTGATTCAATCTGTGAAAGATTGGCAGGTTGGAGGAATTTAGAAAGCATGTCACTTCCTCATGCGAGACAGAGTTGGATAAAGCTTAGCCCTCGTGAAATGTCTTCATAAGACAGGAGGTTGGCCACTTTCTGTGGGTTTTCTCTTAATTAAAAAAAAAAAATCAAAATAGTTTTAAAATTGTATAGTGGTGAATGATATTAAATGGAGATAACAATCCTCCTTTCTAGATTTCACTACCTAGAAATATCTGCTTTATTTATTTCATCTGATATTTTCTTCCATATTTTTACATAATGTTCTTGTGCTACCATTAATTTTTGAATTAGCATTTTTGAATATGTAATACATATGGCTCTAAAATAAAACATACAAACAGTAAAGAGCATCTTTTCTATTCCTGTTGCCACCTTTTTTCAGGTAACCATTGTTATTAATTTTCTGTGTATACTTATATGCAAGAAAATAGCACTATATATTTACTTC